ATGGAAAGCCTCTGCTGCCTTAGTTACTAATACCTTGAGAAACATACTAAACAAACTCTGCTTCGCCAGTCTGGCACCTGACAAACTAAGTTGAGGCGCTTATGCTCATGTTTTGGGTGGGTGAGCACATGAACCGCTAGTGCTTGACTGCTTTGCAGCAAGACCCGTGCATTGCAGTGTTGGATTTTGGCACCCAAGGAAATAAATGCAAGATTGTAAAGCGTAAGACCGTAAGACGTTCTATTTGATAGCAACATTCGTTTCGTTTAAATGCGCAATACAAAGAATTATTGATGATGAGATATGATGACTGTTTGCTAACAAGTTCTGAATCACTACTTTGCTAGATTAGCAAGTTTCAAAAGTCCTTGACAACGTTAATGAAACATGCATGTTTGGCGAGAGTTAAATGTTAACAATATGTTAAAAGAATTCCCGGTGGTTTGGAGACACGACCACGATAACTAAGAACAACATGTGGGCATGACATTGGTCTAGAAAAAACCAATGAATAGATAGTAAAGTTGTAAAATCAGATCATGGATTTGTCACTATGATGTCTGAGTACTGGTCAACATGGAAAATTAAGTGCTACTATTACAAAATAATAAACAAGTTTTACGGAAATACTAAGGTGGAATGTTGCAACGTGTTGAATGTAGCTCCAAAACCCTTTTTTGCCAAATCCACCTATCACATGCGTCTCTGCGTCACGAGCTGCAAGCCGCTGGAGCCGCAAAAGCCGCAGGCCGCCGGAGCCGCAAAAGCCGCAAAAGCCGCAGGAGCTTCCTGAAATACTTCGGCTCACATAGGATTGGATATTTCTGAGAAGTCGGCAAGAGAGCGATAATTAGCCACCTTGTCACAGAAAGAGGCAGCAATCGAGAAATCCACAACACGGTCCTCACGACAGAATTCTGCATGCTAATCAGCACCCTTCCAGGCATCTATTCAACCTTTTAATGCGAAACATCAAGCAATTCACGAATTGAAAGGTGTTCATAGGGAAAGGAAAGGTCTTACATGCATGCCCTCTCGTGGGAAATATGTGATTTCACACTCGCAACTTCAAAACCTAAGCGCCTGGTTCAAAACGACAAGGCCCGAAACACAATCAAAAGTAGTTCTACCGCCAAGTTTGGTGCCTGCCCTACTTCGGCTCATATAGGATTGGACGTTTCTGAGAAGTTGGCAAGGGAACGCTAATTAGCCACCTGGGCACAGAAAGAGGCAGCAATCGAGAAATCCACACCACGGTCCTCACAACAGAATTCTGCATGCTAATCAGCACCCTTCCAGGCATCTATTCAACCTTTTAACGCGAAACATCAAGCAATTCACGAATTGAAAGGTGTTCATAGGGAAAGGAAAGGTCTTACATGCATGCCCTCTCGTGGGAAATATGTGATTTCACACTCGCAACTTCAAAACCTAAGCGCCTGGTTCAAAATGACAAGGCCCGAAACACAATCAAAAGTAGTTCTACCGCCAAGTTGCTGCCTGCACTACTTCGGCTCACAGAGGATTGGACGTTTCTGAGAAGTTGGCAAGGGAACGCTAATTAGCCACCTGGGCACAGAAAGAGGCAGCAATCGAGAAATCCACACCACGGTCCTCACAACAGAATTCTGCATGCTAATCAGCACCCTTCCAGGCTTCTACTCAACCTTTTAATGTGAAACACCAAGCAATTCACGAATTGAAAGCTGTTCATAGGGAAAGGAAAGGTCTTATATGCATGCCCTCGCATGGGAAAGGGTTTAATTTCACACTTGAAGGAAAGGGTTTAATTTCACACTTGAAACTTCAAAACCTAAGCGCCTGGTTCAAAATGACAATGCCTGAAACACAATCAAAAGTAGTTTTACCGCCAAGTTCAAGTTGGTGCCTGCACTACTTCGGCTCACATAGGATTGGACGTTTCTGAGAAGTTGGCAAGGGAACTGCCACCTGGGCACAGAAAGAGGCAGCAATCGAGAAATCCACACCACGGTCCTCACAACAGAATTCTGCATGCTAATCAGCACCCTTCCAGGCTTCTACTCGACCTTTTAATGCGAAACATCAAGCAATTCACGAAATGAAAGGTGTTCATAGGGAAAGGAAAGGTCTTACGCGCATGCCTCTCGTGGGAAATATGTGTTTTCGCACTCGCAACTTCAAAACCTAAGCGCCTGGTTCAAAATGACAAGGCCTGAAACACAATCAAAAGTAGTTCTACCGCCAAGTTGCTGCCTGCACTACTTCGGCTCACATAGGATTGGACGTTTCTGAGGAGTTGGCAAGGGAACGCTAATTAGCCACCTGGGCACAGAAAGAGGCAGCAATCGAGAAATCCACACCACGGTCCTCACAACAGAATTCTGCATGCTAATCAGCACCCTTCCAGGCATCTATTCAACCTTTTAATGCGAAACATCAAGCAATTCACGAATTGAAAGGTGTTCATAGGGAAAGGAAAGGTCTTACATGCATGCCCGGGAAATATGTGATTTCACACTCGCAACTTCAAAGCCTAAGCGCCTGGTTCAAAATGACAAGGCCTGAAACACAATCAAAGTAGTTCTACCGCCAAGTTGGTGCCTGCACTACTTCGGCTCACATAAGAAGTTGGCAAGGGAACGCTAATTAGCCACCTGGGCACAGAAAGAGGCAGCAATCGAGAAATCCACACCACGGTCCTCACAACAGAATTCTGCATGCTAATCAGCACCCTTCCAGGCTTCTACTCAACCTTTTAATGTGAAACATCAAGCAATTCACGAATTGAAAGGTGTTCATAGGGAAAGGAAAGGTCTTATATGCATGCCCTCGCATGGGAAAGGGTTTAATTTCACACTTGAAGGAAAGGGTTTAATTTCACACTTGAAACTTCAAAACCTAAGCGCCTGGTTCAAAATGACAATGCCTGAAACACAATCAAAAGTAGTTCTACCGCCAAGTTCAAGTTGGTGCCTGCACTACTTCGGCTCACATAGGATTGGACGTTTCTGAGAAGTTGGCAAGGGAACTGCCACCTGGGCACAGAAAGAGGCAGCAATCGAGAAATCCACAACACGGTCCTCACAACAGAATTCTGCATGCTAATCAGCACCCTTCCAGGCTTCTACTCAACCTTTTAATGCGAAACATCAAGCAATTCACGAAATGAAAGGTGTTCATAGGGAAAGGAAAGGTCTTACACGCATGCCTCTCGTGGGAAATATGTGTTTTCGCACTCGCAACTTCAAAACCTAAGCGCCTGGTTCAAAATGACAAGGCCTGAAACACAATCAAAAGTAGTTCTACCGCCAAGTTGCTGCCTGCACTACTTCGGCTCACATAGGATTGGACGTTTCTGAGGAGTTGGCAAGGGAACGCTAATTTGCCACCTGGGCACAGAAAGAGGCAGCAATCGAGAAATCCACACCACGGTCCTCACAACAGAATTCTGCATGCTAATCAGCACCCTTCCAGGCATCTATTCAACCTTTTAATGCGAAACATCAAGCAATTCACGAATTGAAAGGTGTTCATAGGGAAAGGAAAGGTCTTACATGCATGCCCGGGAAATATGTGATTTCACACTCGCAACTTCAAAACCGAAGCGCCTGGTTCAAAATGACAAAGCCCGAAACACAATCAAAACTAGTTCTACCGCCAAGTTTGGTGCCTGCACTACTTCGGCTCATATAGGATTGGACGTTTCTGAGAAGTTGGCAAGGGAACGCTAATTAGCCACCTGGGCACAGAAAGAGGCAGCAATCGAGAAATCCACAACACGGTCCTCACAACAGAATTCTGCATGCTAATCAGCACCCTTCCAGGCATCGATTCAACCTTTTAATGCGAAACATAGAGCAATTCACGAATTGAAAGGTGTTCATAGGGAAAGGAAAGGTCTTACATGCATGCCCGGGAAATATGTGATTTCACACTCGCAACTTCAAAACCTAAGCGCCTGGTTCAAAATGACAAGGCCCGAAACACAATCAAAAGTAGTTCTACCGCCAAGTTGCTGCCTGCACTACTTCGGCTCACATAGGATTGGACGTTTCTGAGGAGTCGGCAAGAGAGCGCTAATTAGCCACCTGGGCACAGAAAGAGGCAGCAATCGAGAAATCCACAACACGGTCCTCACGACAGAATTCTGCATGCTAATCAGCACCCTTCCAGGCATCTATTCAACCTTTTAATGCGAAACATCAAGCAATTCACGAAATGAAAGGTGTTCATAGGGAAAGGAAAGGTCTTGTATGCATTCCCTCGCAATGGGAAAGGGTTTCATTTCACATTTGAAAATTAAAAACTTGAGCACCTTGCTTCAGCCCAGGGCAGCCAATATTTTAGGGGCAGCCTCAGGGATGTCTTTCCCTTTCCAATTGCCTCAGGCTGCCAAGCCAATGGCAACTGAACATAATAAAGAAATTCTTGAGCAGGGAGTGCAATTCCATACATGCACAGGACCTGAGTGCTTTTTCAGTCAAGACACAGCGACCGAGAAACGCAAAGTTCCTGAGGACAAATCAAATGCCACGAACAATCGATGTTTGGGAATAAGGCCAGCTTTCCAGTCTCCAATGCGCTGAGTGTCCTAAGAACGTGGATGCATTTGCAAGCATTTACCACACACATGTGGCTGGTAACCTCAGCCTGGAGAGCCTGCATCTTTGGACAGCGCTGGTTCGGCCAAGACTGCAAATGCTCAACCACTTTCCCCAAAACATCGTCAGCCGCAGAGCCGCACCATCGGCCGAACACCTTGCTGTAACTACCGTTCCTTAGATACTAAGGAGGAATGGTATGAACTGACTCTGGAAGGCATGATGCTCTTAGTACCTGATGTTCTTAGCTGTGGTTCCATTGGGAGCTGCATTCCTGGCTGGCTCGCGCCAAACGTCCCAGAGCTTCCAAAGTCTGCAGGAAATAGGTGCCCATGAGCTTTGATGAGGCGCACTCAATGGCGTCCAACCTGGTAAATGCGAAAGAGAATTAGTGTAAAGAAGTGGTAAGCTACAACCTTACAACATCGCGGCCCCAACATTGGCAACTAAAAGCAAGGTCCAATGAAACATGCTCATGACGGGGAGCAAATCCGGATCCACAAGCCATGACTTCTTGCTGTCATTCACGAAAATGGCATCTAGCGAGCCATCCAGAAATTGGCCACACAAGCTCAATGCCCCTGCAAGATTTGGCCGCAGCTTACTGCCATGCTTGGAGATAACCCGGGTTGGCATGTAAGCCTTTCGCTGCCCGACCCCTTGTGTGTCTCGAAAGAAATTGTGGACAACTGCAAGCAAAGCAAATCGCGGCTGCGAACTGGCTTCAAGCACAAACTCAGCAAAGCCAGGGGATCGACGGTATGCAGTCAGAATCACGATACCCAATTGCTCACGACTCTCAAGGCGTTGCATGTATGGCATCTTCAAGATATCCATCAAATAGCCTGTCACCTTGTCACCTCCTTAGGGGACAACCCGCAGCGAAAAAAAAACATGGTGCCATGCCATATGCATTGCGACTGTGGGTTACAATGGGCCCCGACAGCTTGCACGGAGAATGCGACTTGCAATGCGCTGTGAAGAAAATTGCTTTGCAATGCGAATTTATGAAAGCTAATTATAATTAAGGCATATTGATGCAGTCATGAAATGTCTGCATGGAGGCATGAGCTGCACACCTATGCTTCCAGAAGAAAAATCAAGGCTCGGTGCTTCGTCACTGAATGCAAAAAGCTCCCTCTACAGCTGTCCAGAAAACTGAAGGGAGCTGCTTGCATTCGGAGGAAAGGGTTCTCAGTGTGTAAAATCTGGAGCATCAAGTTGCCAGGGTCCTTGCCAGAGGATTTGCTGCCCCAGGATATGCTTGGGTGCCCCCTCCAGGCCCTTCTGCGTCAAACATTTGGTGCATAGGGAAAGGAAAGGTCGCACCATGTTGTTGAAAGGTTATGTATCGTTCTCATACATACATACATACATACATCCATACCATACCATACCATACCATACCATACCATACCATACCATACCATACCATACCATACCATACCATACCATACATACCATACATACCATACATACCATACATACCATACATACCATACCATACATACCATACATACCATACATACCATACATACCATACATACCATACATACCATACCATACCATACATACCATACATACCATACATACCATACATACCATACATACCATACATACCATACATACCATACATGCAATACATGCAATACATGCAATACATGCAATACATGCAATACATGAAATACATACAATACATACAATACATACAATACATACAATACATACAATACATACATACATACATACATACATACATACATACATACATACATACATACATACATACATACATACATACATACATACATACATACATACATACATGTTTAGATGCATACAATGTGTATCATTACTATTTTTGATTATTAATAAAATCATTATCAGTAAAATGGTGTGTTATTCATATATGTGCTAGTTTCTAATATGATGTATGATATTCACCTTAGAACACGATGATAATCAAATTTGCTGATGTGGTCTCGAAACATCAATGTCTTTGCACAGCTGGAAGGTAACATATCTCCTTCTCCAATGGTGGAATTCGACACCCGGCTCGATAAGTCATATAGGCAGCCAAGGCTGCCTCACAGCAATACCAAATATGCCAAACAACCACAACCACACTGGGAAAGAGGGCCTGATGCAATGCTGCCCAGTTGCTACTGGCAGCTCAGCATGATCGAAACCTCTGAACAGAAACTCCACCAACGGCAACAAGTTGCCATCCTTTCCCTCAATGCATCTCTGGGCAGCCTCTGTGCAACAAGCAGCTGGCAACCCCCCACACTCAGTCAAAGAACGAAGCCAAGGAACTTTGCAGGCAGCTCGCTGGACACGGCTCCATTTCTCGCTCGTTTGCTCAGAGTCTGCGGCCTTCAACCACAGCTTGACAGCAGCAGCAGGATCCACAGGAAGCGGCGCCATGCCTCTTTCATTGTGGGCAGAAAACCTTTCATTGCTATATTTGAGGAATCTCGACCCTTCCATGCAATACACTCATAGAAATTCTACCTTTCTATTCCAAAAATGCGGAGTTTCAGCCTTGAATGTCTTCATTGTACCTTTCATTGCAGCCCCAAAACTAACCCCCTGGGCTCTCGCGAGCCAGGGGCGTATTACATCGGGCAATGCCCTCTTCAATACGGGGCTGGCTTGCACGAGCCGGGACCGTAATCATGAAGCTTTTGACCCTTCAATACTCAAAACTGAAGCAAAGCAGATTGTCTAGGGCAATGCCCTTTCGAATACGGGCCTGGCTTTTGCAAGCCAAGGGCGTATTACTATGGGGAGCTTTTCTTGGCTTTTTTGATGCATGAGGCTGACACATGACAATGCGATTCACTGTCATCCGACCTTTGAGAACATCCCTGTAACACCCCTTGATCGCCGAAGCATGCGAATTGATCGCACAAAAGACCAAAAATCATTCCATGTCGCTACTTTCTTCACTGTAACCTTTTTGCTACCATGCTTGCAGCCAGTAACAGCCTTGCCCACAGTGTGAAGCTGCCACCGGGAACCACGAGCTTCTGCGCAGATATTGAATGCAGAAGCTACCAATGCACACCTCACAGGGACATGTGTGCAATGAAACTGTGTTGTCATCATCATCATCATCATCATCTTCTTCTTCTTCATCATCATCATCACCATCCTGATCAACATCACCATCAACAACAACATCATGCTCATCGTCATGATCACCAGCACCATCATCATCACCATCATCACCATCATTATCAGCAGCAGAAGCAGTATCATCAGCAACATGCTCTTCATTGTCATCATCATCATCATAATCATCATCAACAACAACAAAAAGACCAACAACAACAACAACAACAACAGCAACAACAACAACAACATGATCATGATCATGATCATGGTCATGATCATCATCCCGTGCTGGAGCAGCTGCAGCTTGGAGGGGGCCACACCTGACCAGCAACATGCTATTGCATGGAGGATTGGTGAAAAAAAGGTGCTGATCTGGTCATGAAAGAAGGAAACACTCACGCAGAAACACTGCAACTGGTATGTTTGGTTGAATAGTAGAAAACAAACTTATTTTCATTGGAGCCTATTTCTGCATGTAAAGTACATTTTTCAATAAATATTGAAACTATCTTGGCCCCAATCACATGACAATACCTCTTAGCCTTCAACAGCAATGAGTTTACATGCTCTCTCACTATCTCAGGGTAGACTTCCAACCGAATGTAACAATAAGTTACATTTACTTATTATGAAATTACTATGCAATCCAGAAAAGGGCCTTCAATCCGCACACGCTTGCGCTGGAGCAGCTGCAGCTTGGGAAGGGCCAAACCTAACCAGCAACGTGCATGGTGAATTGGAGAAAAAAAGGGGTGGCGATCTGGTCCTGAAAGAAGCTCATGCTGAAACACTGGAACTGCTATGGTGATTGTAGTAGAACACCCCCGCTTAATAGTAGTTACCTGTTCCTGCATGTGAAGGGCTTTCTTCTGACGTCATATTGGAACCATGTTTGCCCCAATCCTTTCAACAGCAATCTGTTTACATCCTCTCTCCAACATTATCTCAGCGCAAAATTTCAATCATACTATGTAACAAATTATTAAATTATCATCATTATAATATGAGCACCATGCAATCCAACCAAAGGGCCTTCGATCCGCGCACGCTTGCGCTGGAGCAGCTGCAGCTTGGGAAGAGGCGCACCTGACCAGCAACGTGCTGTCGCATGGAGGATTGGGGAAAAACAAGCCGATCTGGCCGTGAAAAGAAAATGCTCACGGGGAAACGCTGCAGCTGCTATGGTTTCTACAATAATCCCTGCTATTGATTAAAATAAATACATGCAATGGTATTGACTAATAAGAAATTAGCACGATGATGCCACTCCCTTTCCTCCTCTCAACTGAGAAGTGCTACAGCCAACTTCTTTTTTCCATGCGCTTGCCATGGAAAGTCTGTGTTGAAATGCTGCAGCTTCATGCAGCTCGATCTGCCCAGTGATCATGCTGGGACTTTTCAAAAAGTGCCGCTTTGTGCAGCTCTGCGCCATCTAGACGTCTTCTGCCCAATCGTCATATGGGTCCACGCCACCATCCTGGTACTGGTGACGATCGTCCCACCACTGACTGCCATCCTCCCACCAATTGTTGCCCCAATACTCCTGCTGAGCCGCTGGTGCCGCTGAAGCCTTGGGAGCCGCAGTAGGTGGAGCTTGTTGAGCAGAGTCTGCCTGTGCCGCAGGAGGTGGAGCTTGTTGAGCAAAGGCTGCTTGAAAGGCTGCTTGCGGGGCTGCTTGCGGGGCTGCTTGCGGGGCTGCTTGTGTGGCCGTGGGTGGGGCTGCTGCAGCAGGAGCCGCTTGAGCCGCTTGAGCCGCTTGAGCCGCTTGAGCCGCTTGAGCAGTAGGAGGCGTCATGTTGGCAGCACCGGGGGGAGGGACTGAGCCGCGAAAAGGTGCAGGGCCACCCCAGCCGCTGCGTGCATGGTCCCATCCATCACGGTTTTGCCGATAGCCGCCAGAGCCGCCACCACCGCCACTCCAGCCGCCTTTCTTGCCCCCGCCCTTGTGTGCTGCACGACTCTGGTCCGCGTCACCAGTCTGGCGCATGGTCTGCACACAGTATGACTGGGCTCCCCCTACCATCAATCCGAGGTGTAAGCCAGCTGGTGCCCTGACACAGCGACCAACGGCGATGCTGTAGGGGGCACCCACTGCATCCAAACGGCGGAGGAGCTGCATGGCCATCACGTGGTAGCTCCCGCCCTTCTTCACAGCCAGAATCCGCTCCTGAGACATGCCACATTACGCCCAAATCAATGACATGCCAATTTGTCAGGAAGAACATTGTAGATCTATCATAGTTACTGATTCATGTCAACCTTTGCATTAAACAATTTCAACGTATTAAAAATTATAATTTGAAACCCGGCCCAACTAGTCCAAGCAATTTCAAGAAACAGTTCCATATTTGAGTTTTAGATCAAAGCTATGCTTTTAGAAATGCTTAACACAAAAACGCTCAGAACAAAAAAGTATGAGCGCATCAGCAAGCCCTGGCTGACTTGAAACCAAGAATCCACGTAGTAGCCATCCCAGACCAATGAGAAGTCATCTCCGCCAGTCCCAGTCCACATCACGTCCACCTCCTTCTTCTGCCGGACCATGAAGTCATCGTTGGCAAAGTCCCCCTTGACAATCTCAGCCTGAATGGAAGAAAGCAAGAAGAGGCACGAGCCCTGGAACTTGGGTTGGTTAATATGTTATCAGTTATATATCACTTAACTTCTAAAGTCAACCTTATTGAAGAAAACACAAAATCAAAAAATGGAAGGGGCTGTCCAGGCCTTGAGCGTGAATAGAGGGGTTGTGAATTTCCTGTTGGCAGTCTGGATGGGGAGAAACCGCAGAACATAGAAGAAGCCGCTGGAGGTGACCCAAATGGATTGGTTGGTCATGCTCGCCCCGTCCACCAGCTGCCCATAGCCAGGCTCCAGGACCGAGAGGAGGACCAGCTCCTCATTGCGAAGGGTGTGGTCGGAATCGGCCGCAAAAAGCAGTCCAGCCTTCTGCATTGATGCGTGCGAAGGCTCGAAGCTCTTATGGAAAAAGCTGCTCTTCAACAGCATCTTGTTGCGAGCCTCCAAAGGCATTGCCTGCTCATCATCTCCCTGCAAGTTGACCAAGCTGCGAGGTTCCGATCGAACGGTTCCCAGACAGTCTCAGAAATGACTTCGCAAACTGCAAGCAAACCTTGCCGTACAGGCTCATGTGCAGCAAAAGACCATCGTCCCTGTTGAAAGGGAGAGCCCATCCACCCCAGCCTTCTGCCTGCCAGGGAAAAAAGAAGCAATCCACTGCCACATACAAAAACCTTCAAAACTGTTCAGATCGCAGCTGTTTTGTGCTTGTCTTTCTCACCTCTGCTTTTTTTGTTGATGTTGATTTTGTTGTTGTTGTTGTTGCTGCTGTTGTTGTTGTTGTTGTCGTTGTCGTCGTCGTCGTCGCCGTCGCCGTCGCCGTCGCCGTCGTCAGTGCCGTCGTCGTTGTCGTTGTCGTTGTCGTTGTCTTTGTCTTTGTCGTTGTCGTTGTCGTTGTCGTTGTCGTTGTCGTTGTCGTTGTTGTTGTTGTTGTTGTTGTTGTTGTTGTTGTTGTTGTTGTTGTTCTTGTTCTTGTTCTTGTTCTTGTTCTTGTTGTTGTTGTTGTTGTTGCTGTTGGTGGTGGTGGTGGTGGTGGTGTTCTTGTTGTTCTTGTTGTTCTTGTTGTTCTTGTTCTTGTTGTTCTTGTTGTTCTTGTTGTTCTTGTTCTTGTTCTTTATCTTGTTTCGTCGTGTTCGTCTTGTTCTTGTCGTTGTTCTTGTTGTTCTTGTTATTCTTGTTGTTCTTGTTGTTCTTGTTGTTTTTGTTGCTCTTGTTGTTCTTGTTGCTCTTGTTGTTCTTGTCAAGTTGCTGATGTTGTGATGGTTGTGATCATAGTTGTTCGTTGTTGTCACTGCTGCAATCTTTGTTGCTGTCATTCTTGTTGTTATTGATGATGTTTTTGCTGTTGTTGTTGGCGGTGGTGGTGGTGGTCGGAGTGGGGGTGGCGGTGGTGGTGTTGGTGTTGTTGGTGGTGGTGCTGCTGCTGCTGCTGCTGGCGGTGGTGATGGCGGTGGTTGTCGTTGTCCTTGTCGTTGATGCTTTCATTGCTGTTAAGTTCCAGACCAATGCGTGTTGCTATTCGTCTTGATTGTTCAGTTCTTGTTCCTGTTCTTGTTTTTGCTGCTGCTTCTGTGCACATGTCGAGCTGTCGTTTTCGTAGGTATATTGAAAAAAGGTTCTGGTTGTGGCTGCTGTTGTGGTTGTTGGCTTTGTCTCATTGTCGTGGTTGTGCTAGTTGTGGTCACTGTGGTGGATGCGCTTTCGTTTGGTGCTGTGTCTGTGGTCGTCGC